TCAATAGAATATTTGATTTATACTAAATGAGGATCTCATAAGCTTTCTAAACACACTGGAAACTCAGCCAGTGCCTCATCTGTCAGATATTGTTGGCATGCAAAGAAAAATGGTATGTAAAATAAGAAAATGAAGTTTCCTTTGCATGATAAGCACTAAAACTGTGGTCTTGAAAATTGCTGACCTGAGGGGGAAGAAAAGAAAAAAGCTGAGTTCCTATTCTACTGAGCTTTCAGTGACACCTACAGACAAGAGTGCTAACTACTCATCAACAATGTTTGTAGCAGTGAAGCAGATCAAACTGTAAATCTCATCATTTACTGTCGGTCCTCTCAATACTTATCGAGAAAAACCTTTCTATTAATTATGGTTGAAATCCCTCCCATGTCAATGGAATTTGAATTCTTTCATTGTATGTCTGAGTTGCATTTGTCCCCTTTGTATATTAATCTACAATATATGCTCACATATATGCACACAAAACACACTATTTCTTTCAATTGCTCTTTTTTTTAATCTGTCATTAGTTCCTTTTCAAAACTGAAGAGTGGATTTTTTTTTTACCCATTTGGTAAATTGAAGAAAATAAAACTTACCCTAGAGAAATTGAAAATTACTTTTTTTCAATTAAGTATTCAGTGGTATTTCTAATAGTATCTGTGCAGTAATAATAGCTGAAAATTCTCAGAACTCTCATTCAACACTTTTTATTGCTCTTATTTTTAAAGCCATATCAAAGTGCATAAAAGAGCTTTAATAAACAAATGTTCACTTGAATCACAAATAAAATCCCTTTCAGTTTAACAACTTTCTTTAAAAAAAAATAGCTGCCTTTGGAAGCCTTCTTCTGTGTGAAAGTTGCTTAACAATAAAGATTGCTGAGGAAAATAATCTGTATTTTGGAGATCATCATGGTGGAAGAAGAAAAAAGCCTAGCTCTGCTGTAGTATATAGGTAAATTATTTCTTGTGTAGGAACTGAGGGTATGTCTACACTACCCTCCTAATTCGAACTAGGAGGGTAATGTAGGCATACCGCACTTGCAAATGAAGCCCGGGATTTGAATTTCCCGGGCTTCATTTGCATGAAGCCGGCCGGCGCCATTTTTAAATGCCGGCAGTTCGAACCCCGTGCCGCGCGGCTTCCTAATCCGAACTAGCTGTACTCCTCATTCCACGAACTAGCTACTCCTAATCCGAACTAGCTACTCCGTGCCGCGTGTAGCCGCGCGGCACGGGGTTTGAACTGCCGGCATTTAAAAATGGCGCCGGCCGTCTTCATGCAAATGAAGCCCGGGAAATTCAAATCCCGGCTTCATTTGCAAGTGCGGTATGCCTACATTACCCTCCTAGTTCGAATTAGGAGGGTAGTGTAGACATACCTTAAGAGCAATAGAGAATGAATAAATAGTTATTTCATAGGAAATTTTGACTAGCTCATAAACATCTTTGTTTTAACCAACTTTGAAATTGGGAGGTGAACCAGAACAAGTTTGCTGTCACTGAAACACTTTCTTTGATTAAATAGGTGCTTCAAGCTACAGATTTTAACAATGTAAATTAAATAACTTTGATTGCTATTTATCTTCATTGTCAAGGTCTGTCCACTTGACTGTCCTTAGCTGGTCTATGCTAACACTTAACATTTGCTGCTGCACCTAGGGCTATTAAATAAAACATTTTTTAAACTTTTCAAGTCCTTGCAAACACATCGATAAGCATTCTCCCCTCAGTGATTTGTAAATTGCATCACAGAGGGATCACATCCATGCTAAATATGATGATATTCTACATCTCAGGTGTCATTTGTCATCAGTCTGTACCAGCCATTCAATGAAAAACAGTATGTTAAAATATAACATTACTGTGCTTCTCTACATTAAGGGCATGTCTACACTGTGGACATTGACCCTCTGGATGTCAATCTTCTACCGTTTGATTTAGTGGGTCTGTGGGTCTAGTGTAGATCCCCAAATCAAACACTGAGGGCAGCCGCATATCGGTGTCCTGTATTCCCCATTCTTTGAGGAGTAAAGGAAGCCGATTGAAGCATGTACTCCCATCAGCCTCCCCCAGTGTAGATGCTGCAGTGGCTCAGGTTAAGATAAGCTGAGTCAAGCTGCACATTTTGCATAGCTGGATGGCATACCATAAGCTGACCTGCCTGGTCTAGTGTAGACCAGGCCTAAGGGAAAGGAATTAGGAAACTGAGGCATGGGCTCCAGAAGCTCCTATTGGTTGCAACTGGGATTATGCTTAGCATCTCTGAGTATGCTCGTGTGTGTGTCTGTGTCTGTGTCTGTGTCTGTGTCTGTGTGTTTCATCAGTCAAAAAGTATTACTCCATGCACTTCCTTTTGGTGATAGTCTCTTGCATTTTTGTAGGATGTCACAGGAATCACAGACTAGATTCTGCAAAAACTAGACACTAATATTTATTTATCCTTCAAGATAAATTATAGGACATTAGTAGTAGCTGAAAGTGATGAGGACAAAAGTTGGAGGGAAAAAAAAGAATTTTCATTTTTTATCAATTCCAAAGAGTTAAAAAATCATTTCTGATTATCTAAAAAAAAATGTTTTCACAAAATAGTTGATTTTGATTTTATCATTTTAAATATTTTTAAATAAAATTACTGTAAATTTTTTAATTAAAAGAGGTCTCTCATTTTTATCTTGAAAATGTCAAAAACTGGCCATTTTGACATTTTTGTAAAATTGTATTGACTCTTTTCCTAAATAAAAAGTGCAACAAAATCAACATGAATTCAAGAAATATGCTGATGTCCCTAAATCTGCATTTTAAAACTAAATGAAAAGGTTGGTACCAAAAAAAAATCGGATGTAATCCTGCTAGGGTTTTAGTGTAACATTAACTATGTGTTACGGCACAGAACCTATGATAGGTGGGGTTTGGCGGGGGGCGGGTATTATAATTATATTAAATTATTTGGGGGATGGGTGGATAGAAATTATGACTTTAGTTTTCCTTTGAAATGCAGTATCCTCAACTTCCATTAACTTTAAATCACAGGATCAGGCCCACAGAGAATTTTCCATCAGTATAGCAACATCAGTGTAACCCTAACTGATATAAAACCTAGAGTAACTTGCTAGACTGATGTAACATGTACTTTCAATCTAGTGTGACTTAATCCATTCCAGAGGGTTTGTGTGTTGGGAAGGGGGGGACCAATATGCTTAATCTCTCAGACTCTGAACCTCTAGTTAACACATACCCTTTATGATGGAACATAGCAGTCAGTACAGATGTTGTGGCACTGCTCATGGTAATACTATACCTGAGTTGTGAGGTACCATACTGTATTTCCTTATGTGTTCTGCTTATTTTCCTGCTACTTATTATGGAAATCCATATTACCCAAGTCTTCCATTTCTTGATGTATTTATGTAGTTAGTAAAAGAACAACAGTCCAACTGCCTTCTAAAGTCCCTATAGTTTGAAAGTAAGATCCAGACCCTAACAAAATCAGTGAGACTCTTCCTGTTGACTTCAGTGGGGTTTGAATCGGGCCCTAAATACTTATAGTTTGAAAGTACGATCCAAACCCTAACAAAATCAGTGAGACTGTTCCTGTTGACTTCAGTGGGGTTTGAATCGGGCCCTAAATACCCAGATTTTAAACATTTACGTTTGGATTAGATACCTCATGTCAGAGATTCCTAAACAATAATTTTATCATCTTACTGTGGGAGGCCAACCTAGGTATTTCAACAATCTGCCTGGTCTTTATGAACCAATGTAGTGTACTCTGAACCCTTATCAGATTGGGCTCTTCAGGTGAGTTAGATGGCTGGACACCAATCTTCCTGTGTTTGTGAATCACTCTGGGGCCTGGACATGAGATGAACTCCCAGGAGCCTACAGGAAGGCAGCAGTTTGCATGCTCAGAGGCAGAAGCAAGGACAACCTGGGAACTTTTACTGCAAAGGCTTAGGTGTCAAGTAGGTTTACCAAATTTCTAATCACACAAAACCAAATACTTTAGCCCTGTTCCTTCCCCAGGACACTACATTTGCCCTCCCTCGGTGGCTCACTCTCCTGCATCCTCACTCACTTTCTCTGGGCTGAGGAAGAGGTTTGGGATGCAGGAAGGGTGAGAATCTGGGCTGAAGGTGCTAACTCTGGAGTGGAGTCAGAGATGAAGGATTTGGGATGCAAGAGGGGGGCTCCAAGCTGGGTGATGTGACAAAGGGATTCAGACTGTGGGAGGGGGCTGCAAGTTGAGGTAGGGGATTGGGGTGGTGGAGGGGGTGAGGGCTCTAGGGTGGGGGCAGGTTTCATGGTGTGAGAGGGGGCCCTGGGCAGGGACAGGTAATTGGCAGGGGAAGGACTTAAGCTGGTAGTGAAGGTGCTGAGGTGGCATGCTTGGAGTGCAGGAGGGGGCTCTGAGTTTGGGGGGAGGGCTTAAAGCAGAGGTTTGGGGTTCAGGGCTGGGGTGCTACCTTGGGCAGCTTCCAATCAGAACCAGCCAATGGGAGTGTGAAGCCAGCGCTTGGCTGCTTTCAGCGTGCAGCATGATGTCAGGACAGGTGGAGACTAGCCTCCCTTAGTCCTGCAGCACCTTTCAGATTTGCTTCCCCTTCCTCCCACACACTTCCATACCTGGTCATTACTTTTTATTTTCATACTCCTCTCCCGACACTTCCAGTCTATGGTAGGACGCAGACATCCTGAAAGATTTGCCGGTTATATTTTCTACTGAGCTCAGTCCTCTGAGTGAAACAGAGGGGACTCGTGGGCCTGTTCCAACAAAATGACCAGCCTAGTTTTACAAACTTATAAGTTCAGTTGTTCCATTTAATATCCTTCTAACTGTAAAGTTCTTGCCATAACCTTCTAACATTGTAAAATGTTCACCCATCAGTAAAAGAGTTGCCACAAGCTTCCTTGTGTTTTAATCAGTTCTGGACCTCTATATATTCCTAAAGGAGACAGGATTCATTCTTTTCTTGTGTGTTCTCTCTTTATTATTTACAGATCCAACACGGGTTGTGGTGCCACCTTCCAGCATGGATGTCACTGTTGGAGAAAGTATTGTTCTGCCTTGCCAGGTATCTCATGATCACTCGCTAGATATTATGTTTACTTGGTCATTTAATGGACACCTGATAGACTTTGAGAAAGACGGGGATCACTTTGAAAGAGTTGGAGGGGTAAGTATTAATACTAACCACTCCCAAAAGCCATTCACGTTACACTGAGACATATTAATGACCACAAAGAGCATAGAAAAGGATTGTCTATACAGCAC